AAGACAACCTTTGGTCCAAGCAGCAACAGCACTGGCCAGCTGACAAAGCTGTGCATAATTTAATCGTGCAGAAACCGCCTGAAATGCAAGCTAACTGCAGCTCCACTGCCCAGTGCAGTAAAAATACAGCACTACGGTGTTGTAGATTATCTTGCCACCATCACTGCAACAAAATAACATTTCCAAGGGATTTTCATACTCAGTTTACTTTTTCGTATAAACGGCTGTAAAAATGGGAAGTAATGAAAACTTCCCGGTAAAAAATGAAAAAAATTCCGCAGAAAAAAAGATCCATTTATTCCGTTTTCCCTCTCACAGTTCTCTGCTAAATCGATGAAGACGATGAAAAGTTGAACTAACTTTACGTCTGTATTCACTGTGAGCGTAAATCTCGAGGAGCGGTCGGTGATTTTGGGGCTTTGTGCTTCAGGTTGAACAACGTAGATGCCCGTTCGCCAATCATTTCAGCAATGGCCAAGCTACTTGTAGCGCCAGGGCTAGGTGCATTACGTACATGCAAGACACGCTTGCTCAATTCTCCCTGGCCACTGTCGAAGACAAAATCATCCACAAGGTTTCCACTCAGATCGAGTGCCTGGGCACGAACTCCCGCTGGACCACTGAAACATCGTTATATTCGCAATTCAAAAGATATTTCTGCAGGAGGGAAGCGTAAACAACCCTTTTGACTACATATTCTCCAAAAAATCCCACAACTGTGTTCACCTCGATATCAATGGCAGAAAGCTGCTACCGTGCGTCTTCATGCCACAATTACCGAATTTTCCGGGAAAGCCCTCCTCTCGAAAAAAAAAAAAAAGTTTACCGTGCAACATCTGATCTCCTTAAATCTGGCATAAATTTCTGCAGCTGCTTCACTTGCCCCGTGATCCATAACCCACGATAGAATTCCTTTATGCCGTACCCCAGGAATTTGAATGCAAGTTTCCTCATACCCCTGAAACACAAGCCACCATCGTTTCTAATCTTGCTAGCAATACGCGGCAATTGCTATGATCGTAGAAAAATCACTTGTAACTAAGAGCGTCGTAAAGATCTGTGAATGAAATATCCGAAAACCTATATCCTTCTCTTTTGAACGCCAGCAATGCATTCGGTCCCAGCCACACATCTGAAAATACATATCGCGCAGTGTGCAACCCGGCTCATTTCTTTGCTGTGCTGCGAACTCGTGAAAGGTGTTGTATGCTGGTCCGCTGCGGCAGTGCAGTTGCAAACGAAATTACAGTAATTCTACTGAATAAACTACAACACATTCTATTTTCCAAACAATTGCTACTAGAAGTGCCTAACAGAGAGCAATCAAAGTTTGCAGAGAACGTCATGTAACAGCGCGGGTGAAAAATGTATTTATGTTGTGAAGATTGACCTCCGTTCATGCGAGGTGTGAAGTGGACGCCAAGGAACGGAAAACGAGGATCCGGCACCTGAAAGATCATATTTGATGCAAGCACGATAGATTTGCTCCTTTCAAATCTATCTGCACCGAAATGCGTCTTCAATAAGGCCCTGCGGAAAATGTACACTATAAAGCAAAGTGTTTCTGAAATGCGTAAAGAACGGAATAACACATTTAAAAAAAGTGAAAATGCCTACCGGGTAAACATTTGTTGTTATAAGCTTTTTCTTGCTCTCGGAAACCAGCAAAAGATATTCGCCACGGAATGGGATGATTTTGGGAACGGGTGAACCACCCGAAAGCTGTGCAACACGATCCGACTGTAGTCCGCAGCAAGTTATCACAAATTTCGAACGGATTTTTGACTGCAATACCGAAACGTAATAAAGATACTATCTGTATTATTACAGTCTGATTAACTTTAAGCGAGAATCCAAAACTTCAGAAATAGAATTGCCAGGCCAGGTTGACGCTCACGGCTTCATTCAAACTGATTTATAAAATACAAAACTGTGAATTACACCGGCCATTTAGGCACTCCTGGACGCAAAGCAC